TTATGTCATAATAGAATTGATAGAAAAACAGCAACAGAGAATAACTCACAAAACTTGACAACAGTCTGTCTGGTCTCTTCTAAAAATAAAACATGCAGAAATTTGATTTTTCTGACTTAATCAAGTCTATTATGAGAATTTTAATTAGACTTGATGGTTTTGGGTTGTAATAATTTTATTAATAGTTACAAATTGGACGGGAAGGATGCTTTTGTCTTATTTTTTCTTTTTTTCCCCCTCATATATAAACATGTCAAGACCCACGAGCTGTGTTCAAGCAGGATTTTAATGAATGARACAGATTTGGCATTCATCTTGATGAAATTTCCCTTAGTTTAGCTGCTGGTTTTGTTACAAACAGGGACCAGAAGCTGCGTGATCCATGCCACTGTCGAAGCGCCACTGCTGCACATCAGTAGGCCTGTGGTGATCAATAGGGACTGCGTGATGTTTTTGCATCGATTATAGAAACGTGAGCCGATGAATGGAACTTGATTCCTCTCCAGGGGTTCTGCTGTTCCTGTTCGGCAGAGAAAACTGAAGAGCAGCAGAGTGATGCAACACATCTCTCTCTTTTTTTTTTTTTTTTTTTTTTTTTTGCTTGGATCATCTGGTAGATCTCGACTCTCCCTCACTCTCTCGAGTCTTTTTCCACCAAAGAGGCTGAGAGGACCGCCGTCAAGGCACCTTGTGGGTTTCTGAGAAGTGGGCAAGCTGCCGTTTCTTCATGCTTGACTCAGCCAACTGTCAAGATGCCATGGTAAGCTCTGTTCTTATAATGTGGGGATACAGTAACACAGAGACCCTCGCTGACTGTGAAATGCTATCTGCATTCTCGGCATTCTTACTGGGCTCGATCAACATTGAAACACAGGCGGCTCTAAAGCCGGGGTTAGAGAAGACAGAGCTGGATTTTCCGCTGCTTTAGAAGCCGAGGGACTTCCAGAGGATGAGTTATGGCTTGAGATCATCGCTCACAGGTGGTGATGGGCTCACAATGGTCCCTCACACGGAACACCCAGAAATGGAGCTAAACCACCCAGTTCAATAAGTGCGCTTGTGTCTACAAGTTTTTTGCTTTTAGAAAGTAAAGAGCTGCAGATTCACTCCACTGGAGCTTTCTGTTGTGGGGCTTCAGCTGGTGATTTTGAAATGCGTGATTGTGACGGTACTTTGTTTTAACAAACGTGATGCTTTTTAAAGCTTTCTTTTGGCAAAACTATTATTTTTGTTGYCGTTTGTGTAATTTCATATTATCACAACAAAAAATACTTAAAGTGAATCAGGCAGCAATAAAAAACATTTAAAAAGACATTATTTATGGTAGTATATAGTATTTTAATGCAAGTTTTCCCTAACTTACAAATTCAAAGTTTCCCTTTAAATCTAAATGTCTTCATTTGTGTGGACTTTATTTAGATTTATGCGCCTCTTTATTAAGATAAAAATGGAAACTTGTGGTGTTTTCCATCGTTGCATCTCTGCTGCTCATGCGATAAGGTGTTTTGTCTACGTGTGTGAGGCAGGCGGAGAGGAGCGAGTGCGAGTGAGCGCTCGGATCCCTCCTCCCCGGTGCTCCGCCAGCCCCTCCGTCGCTTTAAGTCCTGCCCCTCGGAGCCAGCCAACAGCAGCTGTTCCATATTCATCAAGCCCTTGAGTCTTAAAGAGCCCTATCCCGAGCATGGAAAAAGTCATTCCTCTCGCTCGCACTCTCATGCTCCCTCCATCTCCGCGCTCATCCCGCCGCCGCCTGCGCTTCTCCGTCTCTCACCCCCTTTTACCTCTCTGTCTGTCCGTCCCTCCTCCCCTTCGCCCTCTTTCACCCCCTCTCTCTCCGTAACACACATTTACTCTCACACACTCGGACACACACTCCTTCTCGCTCTCCCTCACGGTCACACACACACACACACACTCACACATGCATACACACTCAATTCATCAGAGCCCGACATACCTGTGCAGGCTGAGGGGGAGCAGCGCTGGAGGGGCTTTTCGGCAGCGTTGTCTCTGAGGGTGCTGTGCCATCATTTGGGGGAAGAAGCGGGTCTCAGTTGTTTTCTCTTTCCTCTTCCTCTCATTCCTGGAATGCTAAAACTGGACTGATGGACATTTCCGAACTTTGTCTTCCAGACCCTCTCAGCTATCATAACCAGTAGGTGCACCTTGTTTCTCTTTCCTCCTTTCACTTTTCTTTTGTGGCCCAGCTGCTGCCCTGCAGCTGGGCTGTTTCTGTTATTCTTTCTCGATTTCCTCGTTTTGCTCTTGTCGTTGTTCTTTTGCCTAACAAGTCTAGGTGAGGAACTTTTTCCTATTAATTCATAGATTTGCTTTCTTGTTTTACTCCAACTCACTTCAAGTGCACTTTTATTTATTTATTAATTTAGTTTTTTATTTTATTTTAATTTTGAGGAGCCTCATAGACTTTACCGAGCAGGTGCAAGCGTGCACAAGTTATTCTGTAAGCACATCATGTATGCTGCTATTTATGAGCCTCATCCAGAGCATGCCTGATTGATTTACCTGGCACCTCTGCAAAGCAAAGTGCGTATCCTCCCCCACCCCCCTCCAGTCCAGTTGGGTTAAAAGCTTGTTCTCCGATTGTTGCCGGAGCCGACCGCCCAAGCAGAATGAGAATAATACTGGGAGGAGATAAGATTAACAGGAATCCGTGGAGTTGGAGGGGATGAATTACACGCTTTAATATACATTTGTAAGTAGAGAAAGAGGACTGAAAGGACCCTGTAATCTCAGTGAGCCCATAGGTYTGTCCCACAGTCAGCGGCACGCCAGGCAAGCTGCCCATCTGAGCAGCTTCTGGCTGCTGGGACACTCTGAACGCCGCCAATAAAACTTTAGCAAATTTTCTCCTAACTTGCGTTTAAATTTACATCTTTTACCCTTTTTATTTGTGAGGGGGGGAAAAGTCAATTATTGGGAAAAAAACTTTTTTGTGCTTCTTTTGTTTTTTTAAACAGCTACAAAGTAAAGTTATTGCATAAAATCC